TCTTCCCCATCTAGAAACCAACATCCGCTTGAAGTCAGAAAGATGACTTCATATTTGACCACATAATTTTCTAAATTTCCACATCAAAAAAATGAATGATGAGCTGGAAAAAAAGATGCCACCTCATGTAACTGTTTACAGGAGCCCCTGTAAACAAGTACGAAAGACCACCAGCCCGCCAGGAAAGGGAGCGAGGTCAGTGCAGTGGTGCTGCGATTACACGGCGTGGAGAAGACAGTCCACGAGGCTGAGACCACATGGGGGGCCCAGGGTTGTGTCCTGAGGTCCCCAGGGCCCCAGCGTTCATATGTGCCCATGATCCTGGCCGGCGGAGGCAGGGTGGAATACGGCATGGTACCTCTGTGGTACGTATATCTCTCTCTCTCTCGGAATAAATAATTAATATTTTTAAATATTAAGAAAGAAAAACAGGCAAAACCAAGCAGTTCACAGGAAAACAACTAGCTCATAAACATGCCCTATGCTCCAACTCATTTATAAAGAGAAATACAGGAGTTAAAACGACAATTACAACCCCTCTTACTCTTTTCTCTAAACTAGGGAAGACTGAGAATCGATGGGGCCAGCAGTTGGCAAAGTGGTTACGGCACTAGACTCCCACCTGCCGACCACAACTGGAGTCCCAGATCTGGCAGCTTGAAAATCACACTGGGCATGCGTGTGTGTGTGCCCAGAGTCCCAGGAGGGGAATGGAGAGGAAGAGGTTGGCCATCCTGTGGGGCGGGGGGCAGGGGTGATTTCTCACTGTCCCTCTCACTCTCTCTCTCCTGCAAGACCACATGCCTGATGGCAAAAACCTAAAACAAAGACTGAGACGTTGGTGATACAGAGCTGGGAGACGAGCCGTCAACAGGCACCTGAGCCCCGGGGACATGGGTGCGTGAGTACAGGGAGCGGGGAAGGAACGTCTCAGCAGCCTGGCTGGTTGTGGCGAAAGGCTGGAAAGCATCTGCAAGCTCCCTGCAGACGGCCCCTGGTCACAACGGTCACGCCAAGGGCGATGGAAAACCTCTGAAGACCCAGCACACCGTCCGCCTGCTGATAGGGTTCAGTCTCCAGGAGGGTCAGCAGGTGGGTCAGTTGAATGTGGGAGAGTCTGCACGTTTTCATGAAAACTGAGAAGCGAGGGGGCCCAACGGGCATGGCGGGAAGCATGACGCTCTGCACGGCTGTCCCAGATAGCAGGTTCCAGGGCAAAGCCGGAGGCCTCCCCAGCACAGCCACACCCATGAGCAGGGCCGGCTGAAGACCCGGTGGGTCTCGACGTCCAAACCCCTCTGGAGGTGCCCTCTCTCCTTCTCTTTCTCTGTATCTCCTGTTCCTTGAAGAAATAAAAAAAGAAATAAACTAGAAGGTGCTCCACAGCCCTATTCGGATGACGGCCAGGAGCCATAATCACCTCGGGGAAGCAGGTCAGAGGACTGGGGTCTGGGCTAGGAAGGAGGCGGACGGAACTTTCAAGTTTGGACACATCCTTATCAGCCCTCTTCTTGTGGCTGGCATCAGCCCCCGTCTTCACCACGGTGCTTAGGAAAGTCGCCTTGCTCTTCTGCATCCAGCTTCCAACCCAGTGAGGATGTGCTGAGCAGCCATGACTTAGAAGTAGCTGCTGTTGTAATTCTGTTTCACACCACCGTGTTAAGGACTCTCATGAAGAGACTACATTTAAGAGTCAGTGCGGCATTTCCTTGCAGGGACAGGACTTGGGCATGCAAATTAGTGACAAACGGCAAAAGCCAGCGAGCATCTGCATGTCAATGTGCACCCTCAGAGTCCTCGCCATCCTTGTGCCCAGTTTGGGTGTAAATCAGTTCTTCCCCCTCACACCAGGCTGAGCGTTGGGCAGAATTTCTGCCCAGGGCCCCTCCCCTATGGAGTGAGTCATCTGATCGCACCTCTTACTGGTCAAGGCAGAGACCTGGGCCGTGGAGCCACACCCCTGCTTCTCTGAGCGCTCCACGTGGAGTTTTCCAGAAGCCTGCAGGAGCATTTTGAAGCTCCAGCGAGTCGAAGTTCGATTTCTTCCACTCGTGGGGCTCGATTGCTCACTGACCCAACACAGAAAAATGTTGAGACAGTGAAACGAAGAGGCCCCAGAGACACAGGCTCAGTTGCCGAATTGGCGCTTGCCTGGAGCTTTGGGCTGACCTTTGCAGCAGGGCAGCCGGCTGCCAGCTCTGGAAACAGCTTCCTACATGTGACTGCTGGCCTTGACCAGCCTATTTTTAGCAGCTCTCCACAGTGGCTCCGGCTCAGAGGCGATAAGCCAGACTTGGAGGGCAGTGCCAGGGAACATTCCTGAACTCTGGGTCCCTGCTCTGGGCCTGGCCTGTCCCCATGACTAATTTAGAACTGTCACAGCTACCCCTGTAACCCTTTGCCTCGTGACCCTTCCCCCAGAGCCCAGAGCTCTCCTGAGCGGTCAGGACAGGTTCGGCCTGTCTCGTACTCTCAGTCCACTCCCTCTCGTGGTCAACAGCAGAGGGGCGCCACTGGCTCCATGTGCAACGAGGTGGCCGGACAGACAAATGGCGAAACGGCACAGCCACACACCGAGCGCCGGGAACTTCTGAGCTGGGTGCAGACACCTGCTGGCCCCGGGCCCCCCGAACTCAAGGCTCCGGCATTCCACCTTCGCCGTTTTCACAGCTCCCTTTGGCTCTGTGCCCTCGAGTGTGCTGACCACCTTCTTCGTCTATCTCTTCCGCTGCACCCTAAGAAATACTGCTCATATCTGGGTGTGACATGTGAGCTGCTGGTCTTTATGCATTAAAGGAAATTCTATTAAAGGAAAGGAAGCGTCAGGAGCAGGATCCCTGTAGGCCTGGGTGAGGTGACTTTCCTAAGCACGTGGTGAAGGCGGCAGCGAGCAGCCCGTGGTGAGGGAGGTGCCCTTTGGAGACACGGCATCCTGGAACCCCATGGTTTGCAGGGGAACGGCTATTCATAGGTGGGCCATTGCCCAGGGGGCTTCTGCTGCCGTGTTCACACACACACATGCACACACACACACATCTTATTCACCCGGATGGTTGCTGCCTCCTCCAGGAAGCCGTTTCCAGGCCCTCAGCCCCAAGGGCTGGCAGTACCCTCTCCCATAGCTTTCTCAGCTCAGCCCCAAGGTGGCGCCTCTGTTCCTAGGGTGGCAGGAACCTGCTGTCAGCAGGCGTGCCCCACCTTGTTCACCCCCTCGCTGTGTCATCTGGAGCAAGTTACACGTCTGTTATCTCTAAGCCTTGTTTCCTCGTGTGCGAAGTGGGGTGATGACGGGACGTGAGGGGTTCCATGCAGGCCTAGCCCTCAGCAGCACGCACTGGGTACTTGTCGGATGTGTGCGTGAACAGGTGATCTGTAAGGACCATGAGATTAAACGGTGTCCCATAGCTTATTTAAGATCGCCCAAAAAGCCCATGAAAAGTACAGGTTCCTGAACCCAGTCCGACTTCCTAGTCAGACCCAGAACCCGCATGTACGAGCCCTCCACATGATTGTTCAGGAACTGCCCGGCCACAGCCCCGTGTCCTTCACAGGGACAGCACTCGGCAGCCCACGATGCCCCACAGACCCGAGTCCCCAGGTTACATTACCCTCCGCCCTCACACCTTGTGCAGGTGCTGCTCCAACTTACAGCAGGGCTCTGTCTGAAGCCAGGGCAGCAAGGGGCCGAAGATGGCGTGTGAGGGCATTCCGCGGGCATGTGATGTCCAATAACGCTGCTGCTCAGG